TCAATGGAGTAATATACAATTTTAACCCATTCGGGGATTCACAGCTAATGAACCTTGTTACAAAAATCATGCATTTAGCTACACTCAATAATAGGTAGGATCACAATAAAAGAACTTTTATTGGCAAGGGGATTAAGTTTAGGGGAAAAGGATCAAAATGTCCTTACACTACACAAAATAAGACATTATCAATAAAAATTCTATTGGTAATAGATTAGATTCCATCAGTATGTTATATTATCAACGAAAATATTGACGGATCTTTCCATTGGTAGTCGGTCGAAAATGTTGTTGTCAATAATGATAAATACATCGATGATGGATTATTCCATCAATAACTTACTAATTAAACTTTTTGTCTGTCATTCTATCAACAAAGACTTTGATTCGTTGGCAGTATAGTCATTGGTATAGGTTAAAATTTGTTAGTAAATTCCTTTGGTAACATTATTGACAAATACCGTCTCATCGGTTGTTCCATTGGTGATTGCTGAGGGATAACCGATGGAGCAAGCTTTGAAGTTTACAAGTAGTATCCATTGGCAATGCAAGAATTTTGTTTAGATTCTATCGATATTTTGTATGAACTCCGTCGATAATTGATGAATTCCATTGTTAATGGATGAAATCATTGACAATTCCATTGGTAATACTTGCAAAGTAGTTTTTTTTTTATGATTTGTATTGAATTTTGTTCTATTTGTAATAAAATTATATATAATGCTGTTATTGATAAAGTAAGCAAATAGCCAACATATATATATATATATATATATAGAGAAAATATGAAAATCTAATGCAAATCATTATTAATAAAAAAATCCAATGTAAACATCTGTCAATAATCCAAAACTAAACATTTAATCTCATTTATGGAGTGGGAGTGAATTTTTGGTAAAATTTACTAAATTTATTAATTTAATTAATTATTTGAGTGCTAGTACAATACTTTTTACTTAGTTAAATTATGTAATTAATTCCATATAACCTTAATTAATTTAAATAAATAAAATATTATATACTATTACTTATTTAATTTATGGTTTAATTACCAACACATTACATTACTTAATATCCTAAATATTATATAATATTTAATTAACTATTATTAACACCTAAATTAATTTCAATATTTTTTAAATTACATAAAATTACTTATTAAATAATTTCTTAATAACTAAAACATTTTTTTTCATTTCATTAGTTAAATTATTTAAGTAATTTAATAAAATCTTAATTAAATCCAATATCTAGTTAATTTACTAATTTAATTAATTGTTTGAGTACTAATACAATATTCTTTTTACTTAGTTAAATTATGTAATTGATTTTTCAATTAAATTTTACATTGTGCTTCTAAACCCTAAACCCTAACTTAGAATATTTTTACCAAAACACAACTACAAGAATCTAAACCTTAAACAATTACACAACTCTAAGCAAATCTTAAACCCTAAACCAAGAAGCTACAACTCAGCCACAATTGCAAATCTAATATGCAATTTAACTAACAGCAGTGGCCATGGCAACAATCAAACCTAAACCCTAAAATATACAAATTAAAGTTAACAGCAATGGCAACCATCAACATTCATGTACACAAATAATTTAGCTAATTATTTGTAAGAAAGGTTTAAGCAATAGGGTATTTAGGCACTGGGCAATGGTAGTGGAGGAGATGGTTGCCGATGAGGGTGGGTGGGTCGAAGGCACTAGGTAAATGCACTGGTGGGGGAGGTTGTGTCAGCAGATGTATTGGGTAGAGGGCGCGCATGGGGCTTAGGGAGAAAGGGGAAAAGGAAGGGAGAGAGAGTCGAGTGAAAGAGAAAGGGGAGAGAGATGGCTGTCGAGGGGGTGGGTCGATCATTGGCTAAGGGCGTAGTTTGGTCGGCTGTAGGGTTAGGCAACAGGAGAGTGGAGGAGACAGAGAGAAGAAAAGGGAGAAGGGGAAAAGGGATAATAAGGGAGAGAAATCTTGCCGAGGGATGGAAGCCACCCAGTGAGGGGTTTATAAAATTTTTAATACAGATAGGCCAGTAAAGGGGAAGTTGGGAAGAGCAGGGGTGTTGAGAGACGACAGTGGAAATATATTGGCCTTCTTTTCAGGCCCAAATTGGGGCGTGTGATGCTAATTTTGCTGAACTTGTAGCGATAAAGATAGCACTAGAAGTGTTTAATCAATCGAAATAGGTAGGAAAGAAGGCATTAGTGGTGGAATCTAACTCGAGTGTTGTGATGATCAGGTTGGTTAATCTTGTGAGGAGACCATGGAGGTGATGGAGAATTTTTCAGTGAGTGGATGAGTTAAGAGAGATAATTGGATGTGTGCAGTTCACGAACACTTTCAGGAAAAGGAACAACTGTGCTGACTTGCTTGTAAAGGGAGGCGTTGACAAAGAGAACATGTTCATGGCAAGGATCTGAGTAATGAGCTGCAGAGGAAATGTGACAAAATTGAGATATTGAGTAGTAAATGAGTTTTTGTTTTCTGGTTTTCTGCATAATGTATTGTGGATTATATGGGCTCCGATGAAATGAGGTTGTGCAAAGCTGTTTTTCTAAAGTTAAAAGGGGAGAAACCTTTTAGCCAAGATTTGTGGGGCTATGAAATGGCAAGAGCTAAGGCTATGTGATGTGGATAGTGACGAAATACCATATTCTGAATCTTGATGTTCTCTTTCAAGAACCAATAAAATGTTGGCTTATATAAAAAAAAAAGTTCACAAAGCACTTTATAGGTGAAGATGAGAATACAAATGTGGACACTTTCGACCAGCACTTCTCCACCATACACGATCAAAACGTAAGTTGTATGGCAATCACAACAATAGCCATAGCAGTAAGCCCGTTTTGAAGAACCGAACACCATGAAGACCTCTTTTACCGCAAGCAACTCAACTGCTTTGCAATCCATGACACCCACAGCTTTGGAAAATATAAGTTGAACCGCCCCAACCTCGTCTTTAATAACACCACCAATACTCATTTCTCCTGGTTTTTATTCTTTTGAGGTCCCATCAACATTAAATTTTAAAGTATCAAAAAATGGACTCATCCATGTGATTGCTGTCCGGGACTGCTTTATTAATCTTCTAGCTACAACTGTCAAATTGGGTTGGTTGATGAAGTCTACAAATGTATTCTTATCTCTAGCCTTTTCATAGTATCAAACACTTACATCCCATCCCATACCTTACCATTAAAGATCATTGCATTTCGTTGTAATCAAATTGATCAAATAATTACGAAAAAAACCATCTTCGACACCTTTTGACTATCCCACCCCTAATCATGGAATTCCAAGCAAGGAGAAATGCAACAGCCTCACTCGGAGTCACCAATGTACAGGTCCACATGTTACACCACATTCCCCATATTTCTTATAGTTCATGACTCTGAAAAAAAGAGATGACTAGAAATTTATTTAAATTCTTTTATAAAATACATTCCGTCGATTCTTAAAAAATTATCAGCCCTCAACCCATAGTCCATCACTCTCCCAATATTTTTAACCACTGTCAAAAAACCCCTTTGAATATAAAACGATCAATCCATTCCTCACTCCAATTTTTCTTATTAATTGGTTCACAAGTAATGCTAAATATTTTTGACGTTAATCATACGTGATATTCATGATACATATTAAATAATAAACTAAAAAAAATTATACTCTTTCAAAATAAAATTCTCAAATTTGTCTTATTCTATTGGACAAACGTCAAAGGATTCATATATCAATTTCCAAACCAATCCCATAACAAGGGCAGCTCTAACAATCAAAATATCATCAATTTAAGGTAAAAAAAAAAAACCATTTCCACTTTTTTTTCCTTTCAGTTCCTTATCTAATCTTACCATTTTAGAATAGAGTTCAGGCTGAATTATTATTAATTTCTTCACAAATTTGTCTCAATGTAAAAAAATAAATAAAATTTATATATATTCAACTTTTTTATTTTTATTTTTATAAAAAAATTTATTAATCTCATAACCGTAATGTCATTTTGAGTCTCTCATTTGTTCGCAAAAGACTCTCATGACATGAACAAATTCGGTTGAACAGGAGAAATCTATACGTTTGTCCAAAGTACCAGTCATTACAAAAGATATCGGCCTAATAACAAAAAACAAAAGAAGAAAAACCAACAGAAGACCTGAGCAGAAGATGCAAGACGAACATCCTTACTGCCGCACCAAAAAAGATAGCAACACTTTGGTCCGTTAGAAAGCTCCCGTGACCGCACAAGAACAAGAGAAACCCAAGAGGAAACTGCCCAACAAAGTTCTCCCAATAGGCCAACTCATTTCCAATCAAAGAGCAATCAGGCCGTTGTTCCTTCCAAGACGGAAAACTCTTTTATTAATTTGAGCCCAAGCACATAATTTTAATACGCTACTAAACATAACCTTTCTCTCTTCTTTAGAAGCTTCCATAAACCACCCTAAAACCCCACTGCTGATATCTGGTAAGCTCTCTCTCTGTCTTCCTCTTCTCGTCTCCCTTTTGGTAGCCAAGAAAGGCCAGGAAAGTGACAACGTACTATTCTTTTTCACCTACTTGAGACTTGAACTCTTATTTGAGGTTTTTCATCGTGGTTCTTGCTTTTTTCTTAGAAAACTTTTAAGTCCAAGAATCATGAAGAAAATAACTTTCTTAATCTTTTTGAAGCCCTTTTTTGCTCAATATTTTCATGAAGACAAATAAAAATAGTTAAGTTTCTGTGCTTTTTATATAACTATATACGTAAACTTGCATCGATAATTGCTCGTGTAAGAAGCATGAATGAAAAAGACGTTCTTTTTTGTTTTTCTTTTCCTTTTTAATTTTCTTGAGTTTTCTGTCTTTTTCTAGAAGAACATCTGCAATCCCTTAAAGGGTTTTTAGAGAAGTTTACAAGGAAAAGCAATGCAAATCTTTTGGTTGGTTTTTATTGTTTGTTAATTACTTTTGACAATCTTGCTTATATTCTTTTGCAAGAGTGCTTTTGCTGCAAATTAAGATGTCGAAGGCGGACCATGTAATTTTTCAGCAGGTTTTCGATGTTTATAAGGTGCATCAGGAGATTAACGGAGGTAAAAACATGTCTGTTCTTTATTTTTTTTTTCTTTCTTTCCTTTTTTTTAATTTATTTTTGTCAAATATAGTGCTTTAGGAGGATAGGCTTGATTTCTTGTTGATAATGTTAAAAGATATATTAGGAAGGCATATTTTGTAATGGCATCAAAAGAAGAGGGCAAATTATAATATTACATTCTTCCAGGATTTTCATATTCTAATTATATTAACTATTAAAAGTGTAATTATATTAGCATTACCTGTTGTTTAGTTGATTGATTTATAAAGTTTGCTATTTGGTAAGGTTTTTACCTTGACATTATTTGTCATTCTAGACTTTTTAGTTTATTTCCAGTGTCATGTAATATATATTTGAATATTCAGTCATATACATTAATTTGCTTTTGGTATGCTGCAGTTACTCTCATCGAAGCACAGAGCCAGCTTCATGAAATTATCATGCTGCTAGAAGTGGACACAGAGAGATATCCTATGAAAGTTGGTGATATATTCCTATTGTCATTAGCTTATACATTGTCTTTGGATGGAGAAACTCAGACTGACTATAATTCCCTGGTAACTTGTTCCTTTTAAATAGTAGTTTCACATTCTGTAATGGCATTTTTTCTACCAAGATCGAGAATATTCTTATTTAAAGTGAAATTGATGCTTTCTAATGATTGTTATGGTAGCTACATTCTCTTTTGTTGAGCTTGGAGTCGACACATAGCTGTTCATTGTGTTTCTAGTACCTTTTGTATTACCAACAGAATCTTCTTCACTTTTCCAATTTTTAATCTATAAGGTCTCTTTTGTTAAATTTATTATCCAGTCTGTTGAGAAAATCGAAAAGTATATGAGAAAGACCTTCCTCCATGCACACACATAGATGAGAAGAACATACTGTAATGAAGGAATGATCAGTCTAGTAATGTTGCCTAACAAATTGTACCAATATAGGAGAAGAAAGAGACTCTTGCAGACAGCTATGAGTATGTCAGGCATGGGAAGCTAAACAATGTCACAACGGAAAACGAGACGGGCACAATGTAAGTATACTAATTCCTACATGCGACATTTGTTTCTGTGTTTTGCAAGTTCTATCTCCGATTGCTGTGCACTGTTATTTGCTAGCATTGTTACTCCATTATTTACAATGTATTGCAGTTTATTCTTTTAATGTTTTATTTGCTTTGGCCTTTGATGGAAATTTTTATCTCTTGGAGCTTCAGTAGTTTTAAGCTTCTCATCTGACATCCAAATTTCATTTTGCTCCCCTTTTCCAGGGAGATTAATTTTTCATTTGGTGACCTCTCCATGCTGCTTAAAGGGAATCCCTCTCGTCTCTCTCATATTGAGCATGAAAATAAGCTCTTCCTCCTTATAAGCAAGCTACCTTATAAGAAGCCCATTTAGACCGTCTGAGATGTCTTTTGAACATTTAATACCATCTGAAAGCTTGGGATGAATGGTTTTCTTGCCCGAGAGTATGCTGTGTTTCTTCTTGAGTCTGTTGCAGACTTGACTTGAGCTACACTATAAAGTACCTACTCTCCGTCATAACTCTTTGCCCTGAACTTTATACTTTCTCATGTCTATAGATATATTGGATCAGTTTCACCTTTGAATCATTTTGTTTGAAGAAAGAAAGGGATATGACTTCAACTCTGATTCAATCCACTGAAGAGTCCCCTTCACATTCTCAAGTGCTATGTTCTCAAAATTCATTGGCAACTGTCAAGTATATATGTGATATAGCAAAAAATGGATTTTCTAGAGGAATTCATCAAGGATTGAAGAGCAGTCGGTCTTTGTGAGATTAAGATTCTTCTATCCTTGAGAAGGAAAAGAAATGCTTTCTTTTATTTTTTGCTGTGGCCAGAAGGGGAAAAGAAAAGATGAAAACTGCAAATTTTGTGATGTTTAGAACTTGAGATTCTGTTTTCCCCAGCAAATACTATTGATGAATAGAAAAGGGAAACAAAGTCCTTGGCCAGCAAATAGTATTTGGCGGTTTTATGTTTCCCTGGATCAACACGTAATATCAAAACCTTCCTCATAGATCCAGAAGAAGCCCAATGCATATATGATATAACCATGCTGTAAAAGCTTGAAGTGAAGTGAATAATTATATTCATGGATTTACTATTGAAAAAAATGTTGGGATATGTAACTTTTCTCCCCATTAAAGCATCATGAGAAAAGAAGCATATTCCAAATACCAATGAACACCCCAAAGTTTGCAACACGACGTCCATATTATATATATCCTCCAAAAACAGAGGCAATTGAAGAACCGACGCCCAGGAGTTTTCATCTCAGCTTTGCAAAAAGTGCATTTGGCTAAGGCCGCAGCCAAACCCGCTTCTCGTCAACTCGAATCTAACTGCTACTTCCCCAATAAATAACAAAACCAAATAATTCAACCCTTGAATTATGAGGTTTGGTTTCCATCTCCTCTTTTGATTCATGGTAAATAGATGTGGTCTTGATGTTTAATGATGTTTTGTGTGTTCTGAGGGGTGTACAGGGTGCTTTAGATGAACCCATTTTTGTATAAAGGTTCCTTTTGTATTTGTTGATGTTTTGTTTTGGCATACTCCTTGTTTGTTTTTTACGGGACATAACACTGTAAAACTTTTGTATCTGAAGATGAATTCATGTTCACTTGATTATCAATGAATTTAAACTTTTTTTAAAAAAAATTTGATAGATTTAATTTTCATATAATAATTTATAAAAAGTGAGTCTTTATACTTTTTAAAATTGTTAATGTCAATTTAATGTATCAAAATTTTTTTATTATATATATATAGATTTGATGTTTAATTATGTTGACGTGATGTTTTTTTGTTGATTTGATGTTAAATTTGATAATGATGATGTAATATTTCATGAATGATGTAGATATGATATGACTAAATATTAACATAGATTTTATAAATGTGGATACAAAATTATTTAATAGAAGTTAATGATTTTAAATAAGATTTGAAATGAAACAAATCAAACTTATGAATATATTTATAAGATTTAGAAAAAAGTGTTGTGAGATAAAAAAGAATTGAATTTTTGTATTATATAATTTAAAGTAGTAAAAAGAATGTTGTGAAATTGATAAAAAAATGTCACGCCATCATTAACAGATCATATTTAGGGTTGCATCAGTAAGAAAACGTAATGTAAGTATAAATTATAATAAAATTTTAATACTATTAATAATTGGACCGACATTGTCAATTTTAAAAAGTACAAAAATTCAAGTTTTATAAATTATTATAAAGAAATTAAATCCATCACTTTATCAAAGTACAAGAACTAATTGAATATTTTAAGAAATTTTTAATACTCTCATTTTCATGTTATCAAACACTTGCATCCTATCTCACACTTTACCATTACAGGTCATTGCATTAATTTCGTTGCAGTCAAATTGATCAAATATTACCAAAAGAAAAAGAAGAAGAAGAAGAAGAAGAAGAAGAAGCCATCTTCCACACATTTAATAGTCTCACCAATCAAGGAATTCCAAGCAACACTTTACAAATTTAACATTTTCACCAACTTAAATTTTCGGTGGTAAAAGATGAAATTGTCTCAACACTTTATAAATGAGTATTTATAATTAATCGTTGAATAATTGACCGTTAATTATTATTAGTTAAAACGTCATTTATTATTTCATGTTCATATTGCATTGTTGATATAATCATATTATATCAACATATCAGGTAATTATTCATTATGACATATTAAACATGTCATATCAAGATCAAGTGTCATTTTAATTAATCGTAATTTATATATTTTTAATTAGAAGAATTTATTTAACCCATAATCAAAATATAAAACCTTATTAAATATAATACAAAAAAGTTTATTTAAATTTTTTAAATAGTTTTCTTATATATATTATGAAAAAAAAATTTATTACTTTATAAAATTTTTCTTCCCTAGTCAATAAATAACATATATTATTACCATATTTTTCTACATTTTTTTTTACAAATTTTTGATCTCGTGTAATGCGATCTATAGTATTATTTGGGCTTTAGGCCTGTTTGTTTGGGCCGTGTTATAGTCTTTTTTCTTTTATAATGAACAAGATCCAGATCCATAAAGAGACAGGAAACGGCCATGCTGTACTGACCTGTTGAGCCCAAGCTCATGCCCCTTATGCCCTACTGTAGATAACCTCTCAATCCGCTCTGCTTGATATTGGGTCTCGTCTCCCGTTGGGGTCGCCGAAAGGCTATTCTTTTCTTCATACGCATCAATTTTGAAGTTTTTTGAACTCTTATTTGAGGTTTATCATCGTGGTTCTTGCTTTTTCTTTTTATATAACTTTTAAGTCCAAGAATCATGAAGAAAATAACTTTCTCAATCTTTTTGAACCGTTTTTTTTTTTTGCTCTATTTTTTCGTAAACAAATTAAAATAGTGCGTTTTCTACATAATGATCGAGTAAGAAGCATGCATGAAAAAGATTTTTTTTTTGTTTAATTTTGTGTTTCTTTTTATATTTTTAAGTACTCTGTCATTCACATTAGTTTGGCTTTGGTATGCAGCAGTTGCTCGCATTGAAGCACAGAACGATACCAATGACATGTTCTTGCAGTTATCTGTGAACACAGGGATGCATCCTATGACACTTGGTGACAGACTTGAATTTGTATTAGCCTCTACATTGTATTTGGCTGGAACACCTTACACTAGCGATATCCCCGTAACTTATTCCTTCTATATAGAAGCTGCACATTCTGTTAGGGCATTTTTTCTGCCTAGAAGGAGGATATTCTTATATAAAGTGAAATTGATGCTTTCTAGTCATTGTTATGATAGCTTCATTCTCTTTTGTTCAGCTTGGAGTCTGACACATAGCCTTTCATTGTGTTTCTAGTACTTGTTGGGTTTGCAACAGAAATCTTCTTCACTTTTGCAGTGATTAATTTAATAGGTCTCATTTGATAAATTTACGTTTTAATTTGTTGAGAAAATCTAAAAATATAGACAAAGACCTCCCACCACACTTATGCATGAGGAGAACATACTATAATGAAGGGATGATTAGTCCACTAATGTTGCCTAGCAAACTCTACCCGTATGGGGGAAAGAGAATCTTGCAACCAACTATGAGTGTGCCATGCGTGGGAAGCTATTGCAGACCAGAACAGCACAAAAAGCGTACCCAATTGGTGGAACAGAGGTAATCACTACAAAGTATGTACACTAACTCCTACCTGGGGCAATTGTTTT